GTTTGTGAATTTAAGTATAATTTCCTAGGCTACACAAAGTCAAGGAACATAGTATTGTATTGTATTTATGTTTGTGTGTGTATGAGAATGTTGCATAATGTTGTATTTGTGTACCCGAGTATATAAAGATGTGCATACTTGTGTATGTGCATGCATGTGTAGGTCAAAGGTCAATGATGAATATACCACTCTGTCACTTCTTTCTGTTTTTTTAAACATAGTCTCCTTGGTGAAGCTCACGATTGGCCAGATAGGCTCCTTCCTGCCCAGGGAGCTACAGAGGGTCTGCCTGTCTCTGCATCCCCAGGGCCAGCATTACAGATGCATGTTGCCATGCCTAGCTTTTATGTTGGGTCTAAAGATCTGAACCCAGGTCTTCAGGGTTATACAATAAGTGATTTACCCATTGAGTTGTCTCCTCAGCCTCTTTTCGAACATTTTACCTGAAGGAGCAACTCGGTCATTACTGGATCTTATGAAAATTTTCCTGGTGCAAAATTACAGGCTTGATCAGAAAAGAAAAATTTTGAAATGAGGAGAATTAAATAATGGTTTTTACAACTTCATGGCGATGATGACAAATAAAAATGACGAGGGAAGAAACGAAAAAGATGACTTGAGCCGGGCGGTGGTGGCGCACGCCTTTAATCCCAGCACTCGGGAGGCAGAGGCAGGCGGATCTCTGTGAGTTCGAGACCAGCCTGGTCTACAAGAGCTAATTCCAGGACAGGCTCCAAAACCACAGAGAAACCCTGTCTCGAAAAACCAAAAAAAAAAAAAAAAGAAAGAAAAAGATGACTTGAACAGAAGAAAAATGGTGTTTATTATTTTTCTAATTATCTTTTAATTAGAAGTATAAGAATATGCATAGTAAAATAAAACAGTTCATAATCAAGTTCCAATGTGCATAGTTGAGAAAAATAGATGGTGGTGCTTGGAGCAGGAGGTTACTGAGAGCTGGTAGAAAATGGATAGAATTCATATATGTGTGCATTTCTGAGAAAATGCCATGTGGGAACTCACTAAAGCAAAATAAACCCAGCACACATACAGCTCAAAGAAACTTATCAGAAGAAAAAACACATATACAGAGTGATAGACAAGCAGGTGGCTGAGACGGGAGAGTCTAAGAGTAATTTCACAAGGGAGTGAAAGAGCTTTGGGCTGGACTTCTGAAAAAGAAAATCAAAGACTTCTATTTTAATTTTGTATTTTTGTTTACTTTGTGCATTAGAAATAAATGTGCATCAATTTCACTCTTCCTCATTTCCATTAAAACTCTTCCTGTGCCCCCATTCCCTCTTAAACTCATGACCTCGTCTCTATTATCATTACACACACACATACTCAATACTTTCATTTATAAAGTAATATATATTTTATAGTATATATTATATATAATGCCTATATGTCATACACATATATCACATATAATATATACCACAAACATACATCTTGTATGTAGGTATAGGTATATATGCATGCTACCCTCCCTCAACAGCCATTGATCTACTGTAGCTCTTTATCTAGGGGTGGGGCCTTGCAAAATTTCCCCCATCCATATTGGCATATCAACTGGTTCTGTCATTATGTTGGAAACCAAATCTAAATTGATGCCCATGCAAATAAGAAGAGAATAAGTCACAAAGGTAACATCTTGTTGAAAAGTAAAAAGATTTTGGAACTAAGTATAAGAAGCATCAAGAATGATGGGATATTTGAACTGGCTAGATGTAACCATTTAATATTTTAATTAGCTTCTGTTTTCTGCTCTCCAGTAAAGTATATGGGAAACTTTTGCATAATGTAGCAAGAAAGGAAAAAGATAGACAATTTATTTGCTTGTATTACTCAAAACTTTCACTCATGAAGTGATTAATCAACATAACACTTATCTGTAAACTAAAAGAAAATTAGGGCCAGCTATATAGAACTTGGTAGAAAAAATGAAACCATTTTTACAAACCACCTTCAACATTGAGGACACCAGGAAACATTCTTATAAGAACTATTCTCTACCCATTGTAACCATGTGAATAATTCACATCTGGGACAAGATAAGTTGTTTAAGTATGCTACTTAGAGATCTTCATCATAATAGCTGTGTAGAAGCAATTTAATATGCTTCCCGGAACATGAATATTTTCAGTGGAAATCTTCTTCCATTGAAAAAGGGCACCCACTGCAAAAGCAGTTCTCTGACATTTCAAGACAGAATATTTCACAGCACCAATAACCTGGAAAAAAATCCCCTAAATGCATTTGACATCATTATTCAATCCGTCAACTTTCTCAGCTAACTAAGGAAAAAGTAGTTTCTACATTGGTTTTGAGTTCCTATATCCAAGCACAAACCACTTTCCCTTTATCAATAAACATTCTCATTGGGATATGTGTATGGCATTTATCTGTAAGGTCATAAGTCTTTTTAATTTTAAATTAGCAGAATTATTTCCATGTAGAAGCCTATTCCACAGCATTTGAAAAGATAGTGTAAGAACTGATTGCCTTTTTCCAAAAGAGAAATTCTTCAAGAGAACTGATCATGTAGCTTTGGGAAGCAGGGTAGAAAGTGCACGGAGAGGGAAATAGACTTCCCATAAGGTATGGGGAGAGACATTTTCAAACAGTTTTCTCATCTAAAAATTAAAAATTCAGATGGGTGAAATATTTGATCAATTACTAAAATAGTAGTAAGCTCTAAACATGAAATAAAATAATAAAGCTTCTAGATGTACTGAGTTAAGTTCCCAGTAACCACATGGTGGCTTACAAACCATCTATAATAGGGTACAATATTTTCTTCTGGTGTGTAAGCATCCATACAGACAAAGCACTCATAGAAGTAAAGAAGTAAACATGAAGGAGGAGATAGAACAAAGACAAGAACAAGAAGAATAAAAAGAACAGAAGAAGAATAGCAACAAGAAGAACAAGCCAGGTGGTGGTGGCGCACGCCTTTAATCCCAGCAATCAGGAGGCAGAGGCAGGCAAATCTCTGTGAATTTGAGGCCAGTCTGGTGTACAAGAGCTGGTTCCAGGACAGGCTCCAAAGCTACAGAAAAACCCTGTCTCGAAAATCTGAAAAGAAGAAGAAGGAGGATGAAGAGGAGGAGAGGGAGGGGGAGGGGAGGGGCTGGAGGAGGAGGAGGAGGAGGGAGAGGGAATGGTAAGCCTTGGGTTGTAACTGTTATTTCTTATGTGAATGAAAAATTTTTCAAGGACTCAAATTTTGATCAGAAACATGAAGTGCATAGGCAATTAATTGTGCAATGTTGATAGAACTGCATTTGTGAACAGATAGGCACTGTAAGTGCAAAGATTTTGAGGTAGTGAGAAGCTAAACTGGATCCCCTCACCTTCAGGACCAGACAAACAGTGAAGTCCAATAAACAAAATTGACTATGACCCTTCAAGATAAAATAAAGAGGTTTTTTTTTTTTTGCATGGATAGGAAGCTTCTAGAAGGTAAATCAGAGAAATGAAATGAGTATTTGTTTTTCAGAAATCCATTTTGGCTATTGTATGAGGGATAAGGAATGATTTGAAGATGGTAGGGACTGAGTGTTTTTCTGCCAATCAAAGTAAGACCTGGTAGTGGTTATGGGTGGTGGTGGGGAGTACTCGATTTTAAAAGATAATATAGTGTTTTTCGTGGCTTCTATTTTCTGAGTGAGTTAAAGTTCAACTGACTATATTGGCCTTTGATAAGTTATCATGTAAAAGAACTATAAAGATCAAGTACCTATATAAACTTGAAAAAAGATGGTAGGGAACACAGAAATGATGTAGTTAAAGTTAAGATATAAATTTTAGGGGGAATAAAAAGGTATGGATGGATCCACAGTCAATGGAAATTGAACCATCACCAACTAAAAAGGGAACACTAAGATCGTAGGGTGGGGGAGACTTAAAGCTATGGTCCCAAGTCTCAGGAAGTCAAGATATTATGTAATATTTTTATTCTGTTATAGTTTGCTATTCAAATAGACATCTGGTTTACCTGGAGATAGAATGTCACTGAGTATGTTGCATCGGGATGGGAAAGTATATCATTGGACTCTGTAACCTAATCCTGGCAGAACACTGCATGGGTAGTTAAACATGAATGTTAGTGGATGTGGCCCCTAACTCGCCCAAACCCCACTGGAGCAGCAATGAGAAAAGCCAGCTGAATAGTAGGCTGGGGATTTAAAGTCATGTGGTTGATGAGGAGCATTTGAAAGTGCTAGAAATGACCTAGAATGACCCAAGTGGGTGATCATAAGCATGGTGTGTTACTTTGTTCATTGAGTGTTTCTTCTGTATCGCTTGATTCTAGTGGTTGCCAAAAGAATCACAAAGTTGAGAGAAACCATGAACACTGCCAATCAGGTAAAGGGCTCCACTCAGACCTCAGTGTTATAGCTGTGTTTCCCACACTGTGCTAGGGAGTGAGAGTGAGGTTGGAAAAGGGAGGTGGGGTACAGCAGGAGGGAACGGCAAGGGAAGCCGGAGGGGAAACTGCTGTCGCAAAGTGAAATAAATCAATAAATTTATTATTATTATTTTTTAAAGAGTGAAGTTAGAACCTTTCCTCTCCTTTGGGTTTTATGACGATGCCACTTCACCCTATCTCTTCAAATGCAGGAAACACTCACTTAGGTCCCCAGCTGAACCAAGCTTTTCTCCATGCTTCCTAGGAGTTACCTCCCTAGAGATCTGCAGGCAGGGCTGACACTCTTGGGTAGCAGCCCAGTTCCCAGTAAATTCCCTCCTTGTCCTACTTATCAGAATGAAGTTCGAGTTTTAATTCTGCACAGGTTGAGGGAGCTTTTCTTGCTATGGGTAGGGGTGCTGCACAGGTTTCTGCTCTCCAGGAAGCCAAGACAAATACCAGATAGGAAACCATCTGAGGCCAGGTTCCTGGCTCCTCAGCCTTGCTTCTGCAGAAACCTGGAGTGTTTCACCAGTTTTCCCCCCCCTACTCTTGACGTCAAGCTCCGACAGCCAGCGGAGGAGCCTTTCGCCTGGGCGGCGAAGAGCACGGGGAGAGTGGCAGGGAGGGGAAGCCATAGCAGCAACAGCTTGGAGGAGGTAACAGACTATCCCTTGCCAGCACGACCCCGACCGGGGCAAACGCAGTGCTGAAGAAGACCTGCGGGTTCAGGGAACCGCGGGGTTACTGCAAGAGGGGCGGGGAGAAGGCGGGTACGCTGCATGCAGCGCGCTGGCTCCAGCGGTGCCCGCGGGGAATGTGACATCAGCGGCGCCCGGCGCTTGCGGCTGGAGCAGGCAGCTTGCCTTGCCCGCGCGGTGCACACCTCGCCCGGGGAAGGACGCGGAGCCAGGCAGGCGGCGGGGATGTCGGCGAAGGAGAGGCCAAAGGGCAAAGTGATCAAGGACAGCGTCACCCTCCTGCCCTGTTTTTATTTCGTTGAGGTGAGTTGGCCCAGGGCCCTGGCATAATGCAGATCTTTCCGGACAGCTCCGGAACGAATTTGGGTCCTCGGTAAGATTGGTGACCACACCGAAGCACCAGGGTGTGCGTCACTGCTATCCCCGCTGGACCCTCTCCCTTTCCCCCTATATATTTTTCTCCAGAGCTTCCCTGAGTCTGCCTGAGGACACCTGCCAGCACCAGCTGCTTAACACTAGGGGTGCCTTGCTGGGTGGCCTTAAAGGAAAGGATACCTGTCAGAGTATAGGTCTAGTTTCAGCCCTGTAGTGCTTGTGTGTACAGGGTCCATAAGTGCCCCGGAGGGGCCGTGATGCCTATATTTGGAATTTGTGATTTTCAATTTGCTGATGATATTTAGAACTCTGAGCTTTTGGTGGGAATTCAAATGCATACAGCTTTGCCTGAGCTATAGGGTAGGAGATGTTTGTGTGGTTTTAGGATTATGTGGCGCCTATTAACCCTCCCAAACCCTTCTCCTACTACAGTTGCTATGGTACTTCATCTGCTTCCAAAATTGGGTCATTTCTAGATGTCAATCATCAGTCTGTTGGCCTTTTGCCATGCTATGTGTGGGTGTGTGCACGGACATATATTCATATTTATTTATACAGCATGGTGTAGAAACATAGAAAAACAAGTGAATATATATTTTAAATGTATGACATCATCTGAGTTCACATGATTTGTATCCGTGCTCTTATTCTGACCTGAACAGTATTACAGTTAAGCAATTAACATGGGGTTGCACTCATAATGAACCTCTCTGGCTTACCTAATGCAGCATTTGAGGGAGGAACAGTTTATGGGAGGGGTGTAAAGATTGACAGGTACAGGATTCCGTGTACTGTGATCCATTGCATTCGGAGGACATTTTAAAGCAAGGGGTTTGTTAAATTATACGTGGAGACAGGGTGCATTGCATACATTTAGGAAAATCTAATAGTTTTAAAGGTAAAACTGTGTCCATGTAATTACATCTTATGTTGAATAGAAAATTTTGAAACTATTACTGCATTAAAAATAGCCTTCCTTCGTTGTCTTTTCAGCCAAACATGGAGGTTCTCACTTCCAAGTACAGATAGGTAGCTGATTCTGTATTTGATGACTGAGAGGTGTGTCTGGATTGGGCAAGAGCCATTGCCTTGAAACTTGGAGAAGAAATATTGTGTCAAGCCTATCCTTGGAGATAACTATATATTTGGTAGTTTCTTTTATGTGCCATATATTTTGAAATAATTCAAGTGTTAAGAGAGGTGTATGTGACCTGCATAAGCTTCAGAGAAATGACCTGTGACACCTTCCTCTAGGACCTATAGAAAAGAAGTAGAGAGACAGGAGGGAATGAAAGGGAGAAAGAGAGAGAGAGAGAGAGAGTCCTGTTTGCTTAAAATCATTGTTTTCTTTATTGTTCCTTTTACAAAGAATCCTGAAGCTGTTGCTTGGGTGGTTGAAAACTGTGGGCCCAGAAGATTCCATGAACAGAATAAAGGATTAGAAAAACAGGCTGCCTGCATTCCAGTGGCTAAACCACTTGTGGCATTGCTAATCCATTTAGTGGGGTGTCTTGCTAAAGCACTTTTAATCACATCTAAAACTATTAAATTTATTGGAAATATATTAATGAATTGTTGGGTCTGTCTCTAGGAGATGCTCACTTGAGATCAACTGGAAGCTGACTATACTAGAACACAGCTGTATGGCTTCCAGGAACACTTTCTGAATGAGGGCACAAACCAAAACTTAATTGTTCCCTTAAATAATAGAAATGCAAACTTTTGAGGAAACGTTTACGAAATACATACCCTTTAGCCTAGGATTTTAAAGGTAAAAGTGTTTATAATTCATGGGAATGGTGTCTCTGGGTACAAATATCTTATAAATGTCATATATTTTCCAGGAGTAGAAATCACTACTTTTATTCTGACCTACTCTGACACAAGTCACAGAGAGATCACCTGAAACCATTCGTCCAGTTTATTATAAGATTCATTTTTGTAGTCATTTTCTTGTTTAGCTTTCTGATCTTTATGTTTTGAAATGGGATTCCATGGAGCCCAAGGTGGTTTCAAACTAACTAGTATCAAGACAGGCCTAGAATTCCTGACCTCCTGCCTCTCTCCCTTCCATATACTAGGGTGACAGGCATGTACCACTGTGCCTGCTTCATGAGGTTTAAATGAGCACCTACAGCATTGTATTTGGCAAGGGGTAATAGACTTCTAATAGAGAGCTACAAATTTGGATTGCAAATTATCTTCCTTAACCTTAAATGCATGATGAACCTCTAAAGAGACTGCAGAAGACTGGGGAAAGCATCAGTCTTCCAGCTATTTAGGAGTTGGCAGGAAGCACTACCCAGCTCCTTAGAAATGACTCATTTTGAAGCTAGTGGGATGAATCTTTGCGGGATGAGTCTCTTTTGGAAGATGAATAAACAGAGGTTGAATTAACATGTCAATATAAAGCACCAGAAGGATAGCGCTTGGCCTTGGAACATACTTTCCCAGGATCCCAGGGATTAAGATAGATTGGCAAAACACAAGCAAATCTTCCATAACAAATCAGACCCAGAGCCTAGATATCATAATCGAGGTAACAAAAAGTATGTGAGAGGACCAATATTTAGGGGGAAAGTGTGGGAGTCTTGTGACGGTGGCGGACAAAGCTGTCTTTCTTCAACGTATTTGACCACTTTGGATTGCTATTTATAATACATAGAGGACACAAAGGAACTTAGTTGGGAAATTTTTGAAGTGGACCAGAGAGTGTTATAATCAACTTGGATGCAATTCTGGCATAAAAATAGCAACATTTGGTTGATTGAGAACAAAGTAGACCTTAAAGATGAGTTGACCTGATTCAATTATCACCAGTGTGTTGTAGTAGGAGCGGTGGGCTGTGTCCTCGGCACCCGGCTGCCCCCACAGCTAGCTTTACCCAAAATAACTACACAGAAACTGTATTCTTTTAAATACCGCTTGGCCCATTATATCTAGCCTTTTCTCGGCTAACTCTCGCACCTGGACAAGCCTATTTCTTATAATCTATGTAGCCCACGAGCTGGCTTACCTGGAATGATCTTAACCTGCATCTGCCTGGAGTGGGAGAATCATGGCGACTCTCTGATTCAGCTTCTTTCTCCCAGCCTTCCGTTCTGTTTACTCCTCCCACCTATGTTTTAACCTATGAGGGCCAAGCAGTTTCTTTATTGCTTAACCAATGAAATCAACAGATTGATATATGACACTCCCACATCACCAGTGCCTTATCGTGCATAATTTTGATTATGTTTGCTCTCTCATTCCACACTTCTTTTGATATGATAAAAATTATGTAGGCTCAGTATGTTTATTTGTTTTCTTTTTTTGTTGTTGTTTTTTGTTTTTTGTGGCACGGTTTCTCTGTAGGTTTGGAACCTGTTCTGGAACTAGCACTTGTAGACCAGGCTGGCCTTGAAATCACAGACATCCACCTGTCTCTGCCTCCGCAGTGCTGTGATTAAAGGCGTGTGCCACCACCACTTGGCATAGGCTCAATATGAGCACACATATATTCACCTATAATAGAAAATAAGATGCCTATTTTTTGGCTATAGAATGTACTCTGTGGTTAAAGCATCAGGCCTGTGTTAAAATGGATACACTGTGCTGTTTCATTTCCTCTTTTACAATTGCCCTTGACTTGAAGTAGATTCTTTCACTGCTAGATTGGACAAGGTCTACTACATTAGTTCACACTGATCCCCAGAAAGCCATCTCCTTTGAGTTTCATAGGTTTCTTTGAATCAATCTTGGTAATATTGGCCATGGATAGGGACAGTGGAGTGTTCCTAATTTTGTATAGGAAATTTGACCATTATTTATGAAGCCTTTAGAAGGGTATGCACTTGCTCAGTCTTCAGTGGTTCTGTTTTTAAAAAGAAGCCAATGAACCAGCTAGATGGCTCAAGCCCAGTGACCTGAGTTAAATCCTTGGAACCCACATGGTGGAAAGGTTAGAAGGAGAGGACAGACTCACTCCCACATGTTGCCCTTTAATCTTTATATCAAAGTATGTACCGTGCATACATACATATATACATACATACAAAATGAAGAAATTAATTTTTAAATGAAAGAGGCCATTGTTAACTAGATTTTTTAAAGTAATAGATAGAAATTAAATAATGCAGCCAAGTTTACAAAGCTAAGGTTGAGGTTGAGCTGGTACCAATTCAGACTTCATGTTCACCATCACAGAGACTGGTGCATTCTACTTACAGAGAGAATGTATATGCAAACAAAGTTACTCCATTTGCTTCCTCCCTACTAAAACAAGAAGACAGCACCTGGGAGGATGGGGTGGGATGATCACTTGAGTCCAGGAGTCTGAAGCCAGCCTGAGCAACACTTTTAAGACCCTGATTCGGAAGGAAAACAGCAGATAAAGAAGCAACAACAAAGCAGGAAGATTTAATAAGAGACAGTGAGAGATCTTTCTTGAGGAAGACATGTTTCCTCAGCACATTCCTCAGCTGGAAGACACTCAAGAAAAGACTGAGCAGACAGTGGGCACTCCTCAGCTGTCTTGCTAGCCAGCAGCTAGTATCCCCAGGATAGACAAGGAGGAGAGATGCCCCAACCCACTTACTCTGGTAAAGAACCTCTATAATCTTGTGAACACAAGCCCCAGCATTCAGCTTCTCAGTTCAAGTAATGGTGTCCTTGTTTACTGCCACACTCAACAGTGAGTTAGTGGACAGAATGTTTCCTCTTTTATCTTTGGTTTAGCTGAGAACTAGGTCTATGGTTGATAGCAACATTCTATGACAGCTTGCAAACAAGATGGCTTCTAGAATATCACCCTACTTTATGGATAAGTTGGATAATTCAGTTTTTCAGTGTTCAGCATGAGAAAAAAAAAAGGTCAACTATGGAAGGACCCTCACACAAGTATATACAAGGCAGTCTTACATTAACCAAAAGTAGACCAAAATGTTCTT